GCCAGCCCCGGGCGTGGAGCTGCCCCCAGCGCCGCCCGAGGAGGGAACCAGCGGGTCGTTACCCACGTCGCAGCATTCGCTACCCGAGTAACAGATTTGCCCTTCACTAATTATAGCTTTCCCACATTTTCCCGGGGAAATAAAACACCAGGTCCTATTTTTAGAAGTTCATTGTTTTAAATTAATTTTTTCCTTTACTACAGCTGTTTTTAGCGGTTGATTACTGTTTGTTGGACCAGGCAATCCTTTGCCAGCTGGCTGCGGCTTTTATTAGCTCTTTTAAGAAGACTTGATTTAGAGCTCACAGTTACGTTGCAAGGACAGCAGCTCTGTAACGCAGACCCTCACCAGAAGAGATAATTAGGACTCAAAAAAATGCTGTCCAGTTCTTTGAACAAAACCACTCTTGTTTAAGGAATGTGGTGCTGTAGGCTAATATTTAACAGCAGACTCTTCTCTTGCTCCGAGCTGGTGCGTGCAATTAGATCCTGCCCTCCATCAGATATACTGGATATTATTTTCTAGGAGCATCTCTCAAAATGGAGGAATGCCGCCCTGCAGCCAGTACAGAATGTATCTGGGGGATTATATTTCTGCAAGTATGGCAGGAGGTGCTGGTGGAAGGACGCAGTGAAGCAGGAAAAGAGCTGAAGAGGTGCTGAGAAGGCTCTTGTACACGAGGGGGGAGGAGAGAAACAAACATTGCAGAGAACAGGAAAAACGATGTGCTGGGAAATGATTAATCCACCCCAAAGGCCCTTGCTAAGAAGTGGTGGGACAAGCTCAATGATTTTTGGCAGCCATGAGCTACTTCTGCTTCGCTCTTAACTCCCGTCTTGTGGCCAGATGTGCTTAAGTACAGCCTCAGCCTGTTGCTGCCCAGACACCGCGTCCCCCCGCCACTGTCCCCCACTCTGCTCCTGGCAGCTCCCCGGCAGTCTGCCCCCGTGGGTATTTTATGGCTGTCTGTGTCCCTCCACCTCCTGTAAGTGGTTCTCAAGTGAGCAGGAGCACACAGCCCGTGCCGGGGAAGGGGGCGGGAGTCAACTTCAGGACTGCTGTTCTGTATCCTGTTGTTTTCCTACTGGGATTGTTCCAGTTTCCTGCACTGTCTTATCTGGAGCTGAAAAGGCAAAGCTCTCGTAGTGTCTTGCTTTGTGTGTGCCTCAGCTTTCTGATCTGTGCAGTAGATGTTACAAGACTTAAGAGGAACAGAGCTCGGACTGTTACAGGGTGGAGGGACAGGAACAAAGTGGTTACAGGGCTTTCAGTGCCTATACAATTAGTTTCTTTATTTAGTTATCCCACTTGCATAAGCCTGCGAGTGTCACAGAGAGTTTCCGAGAGCCTCCGGCATGGCCCAGCACTGGCAGAGCTCCCTGAGACATGGAGAGTGGGGTTCAGGGTTTACACTCTCGGTGATTCCAGGTACCTGTTTGACAGACCTTACAAGAGCAGCATTTTCAGAAAGTGCTAAGTATGTTTCCCCTCTCCCCAAAGGCTCAAACTAGACACAGAAAAGACTTAAAAGGGAATATGAATGCTTTTAGTCAGCCTTGAGTTTTCAGAGCTCTGCTGAAATGCTATAGACTTCTTGGAAATTACTTGGCCCCATTTCCTTGAATACAGAGGTGAAATAAGCACATACTGTGCTGATGGCTTGAAAGCTTACTATGCAGATCAGGTGCATGAGGAAACAGAATCTAGTAGCTTTTTTTAAAAAAAAAAACCTTTTATCCTCTAGCGAGCATGAGTTCACTTGGCTATAGGTTATATTAGTGCACTAAATTCCCTATGGGTTAAAAAATTAACAGACAACATTTACCGTACAGCTTTGGAATGTCCTGTTTTTCTGCACAAAGGTGTGGGTCCTGTGTGCAGTGTCCATTATCAGATGGGAGCCTCCCCTGGAAAGATAATTAAAACACTGCACCACTCACAGCCCTGCAGATACTGAACCAGGCACAAGGTTTCAAAACAAAAAAAACCCCAAGCCCCAACCCCAGAACCCTTCCCCATAGACATCCTGGTTTTGTTGGAAGCAGGTAAAATTGTGGCAACGATCAAGATGGATTTTCATTAATTGAAGAGAAGTATGTCAGTTCAGCCTTTGTGGGTAAATACATGTTTCATTTTTTCCTGCGTAGTTGTAACTGTAAATTCAGACTCGTTCCACTTGACAGTTTCTTTGGAGGTGCCCTCAACTGATGTAAATATGAGAGCAGGAGTGGGCTGAAGAAGTACCCTTAGCTGATTACCAGAGCCTTTATTTGGAACTAAATATCAAGAGAAAACAAGGCTTTTTTTCAAAGAGATCAGGAAAAGGAAGACATGTGCTTGGAGATAAGAAAAGATAAAAGCATTCCATTTAAAGACGCCTGTGATAGAAATCAAGATGTTCATCTGCCAAGTCAGTAATTTCATGGCCTTATGACCACGCAGAGCTTCCGTTTCTGTTACCTTTTCCCACACTAACTGTAAGCACCAAATCATTGGCATGAAAGCTCCTTTTAATTTTGTCCAAGCAGCTCAGCCCTTTGGGGAGGAATTACACAGGTTGAACTTGGAGATAAAACTCTTTGACTTCAGAAGGGAACAACAGTGCTCCCATAAATTTACATTCAGCTTTCTGAGGCCCAGGAACAGGTTGTGAGTTCCCTGTTCCTGGAAGGTTTGAGGACAGGTTAGACAAACACCTCTTGGGAGAGGTTTGGGCCGTGAGGAACGCGGGTGGCTGAGATGGCCCTTGGAGGGGATTTCTGATCTCTGGTTCGGTGGGAGTGAGGTCCCAGTGACAGCAGATCCGATACAACGCCCAGATTAATGGGTCGGGAGCTCAAAATGCATTTGCAGCTTTAAAACAAGGGGCTTTGCACTGGTTTTTGTTTAAAGCAAGCAGCAGATTTCAGTAAAAAAAATCTGTGGAAAGCTTGGCTTTGCATGTTTCCCAAGCTGTCATTACCAAAGGGCCGAGCTCGAGCGCTGTCCTTAGGAAGCCACCAGCAGGACCAAGAGTGCGGAGGGGCCGGGCAACAGTATCACGGCGCCAGGCCTGCGGCTCATTCCCGTCGGGAAGCACAGCTGGGAGGTTTGACCTGGGCTGGTCAGGGACATTCAGTTCCCCGACCTGTCCTGAGGTTGGAGAGGGCTCTTCCTGGACTCTTCGCTTTTGTTTGCTTCCTTTCCTCTCCGGGTTGTGCCTTGCAGATCTACCAAACATTCGTCAGCTGCTCCAGGGGACTGGTCCTTGTGGTCGTTGCCGTTCCCCCCCCCAGGCAGCAGGCAGGCTCCCTCGTGCTGGGCAGCGGGGAAGCCCACACCACTTCCATCTCTGGGGTTTTTTTCCCCTTCCTGCTTGGAACAATTAAACTTTTGCCCAAAGATTTGGCATGCTTCCTCGTGTAGGCTTCGCAGCCAGCAGAGCACGTTTAGCTTTGGCATTAGCAGATTGAAGCATTAGCTTGGTTTCGGACAGGCGGGTGAGTGCCCGGGCAGCTGCAGCCCCGCAGCCCGTGGCTGTGCCCCCCAGTTTGGGCCAGTCTGGAGTCGGCAGCGCCGGGCGCCGCTCGTCACTTCTCCGCAGTGCAGGAGCTTGGCCAAGAGGCGGTTTCATCACCACCAGGTTTTGGTTGGGTTTGGTTGGTCTCAACCCCGCTCTGGGGGCCCCTGCTGCTGGGGGATAAGGATGGGGGTGTGGGAGGGGCATGGCGGCTGCCCCCACCCACAGCCAGCCGGGCTCCTTCAGGTGCTCCTGGGCCCCTGCAGAGGGGTCCTGCTGGCGGGGAGGGGGTTTGGGTTAGGGCAGGCGGCCTCAGGGAACCCCAGGTGGCCCCATCCTGGTGCCAGGAGGGAGAGGGAGAGAGTAAGGACCTCCCACCCCACGGCTGCCACATCCCCACCTCACGTCACGGAGGCTGGCCAGGCCCTGCAGCAGCCACCCCACCTCGCCTGCGCTGGGCAGCCTGGCCAGGCACTCTTGCTGCCTTCCTCCAGGCTCCTCATCCTCACGCAGGTCCGTCCTCACCTCGCGCGGAGCAGGGATGCGTGGCCGGTGGGTTTGAGGCCCTGCAGGTCCTGGGCTCCCGCAGCGCCGGGCGCTGACAGCCTCTGCCGCAGGTCATGGGGCGCTCTGGGCACAAACTGCGCTCCCGGGTTACGGAGCAGCCCTGGAGCCGCTGCCCGCGAGGGCGTCACCATCTCCCGCTGCTGGCCGGGAGCGGGGGAGCAGGAGGCCCCAGGCGGGAGCTCGGGCACCGCGCACCGTGCTCACCTTCAGAGCTCACCGGGCCTTGGCTATCTCGCTTTTCAGCCAGGGCTCCTCAAGGAACCAGCTTAGACAGGATCCCTGTGTCCAGTTTTCAGTCTGGCATCTTTTACCACTGCTACATGCAAAGCTTTTAATTAATAATATGCAAGGATGCCCGGAGTGGAGGCTGCCAGCGTGGCTGTAAGTGCGGAGCAACGTGCGGCTCTGGGCGCCCTTCAGCCTGTGCTGACCCAAAGTTATGTGACCGATTGTTCCCCCAACAATTACACAGAAATGATGACGATTTCCTAGACTAATGCATTGAACTTTCCAAAACAGATAGGAGAATTTCATATTTATTCTCTAACAAATGAGTTACATATGCAAATAATTCTTTAGTTAGGAAGCTTCCTCTTCTTTTTACTGTTTGAAGAGTCAGATGATGTGAGAATCTGAACTAACTTCACTGTTTCTGGTACTTCTGTTTCTGCAGTTCACTCTATTTGGAGAAGCAAAGATTTCTACCCGCAGCCTGTGTTCAACGTGCCAGTGCCAAAAGGCACATCTCACAGAGTCTGGTTTTTAAAATTCTATCTTCAATATTTATATTTTGTTTCAACTTTGACTGGTACGCTTAGAGGCTAATCCTGCAAATATTTACACAAGCCGAGCTGTCTATGTGTAGTTAATTCGAGCTCAATGGGAGCTCACCTTAATGAGGGCACATGTTCTGCGGTAGCAATTATTTTGGGCTGAGCACTGAAAAATTTGGTTGTGTCTGCTAGCTGGGGTTTTTTATATATATATATATGTAGACGTACATGTAGACACACACACATGTATGGTAATTATTTTAGGTTCTGAGAGAGAAAGAAAGACTATTCAGTCACTTACTGATCCCCACCTGAGAGAAGGCTCAGTGAGATAGAAAACAGCAGCATGGTGAGTGTTCTTTTATAGCATAAACAGTACCAGAGACAATTGTTTCTAACAGAATCAATTATAGCATTAAAAATTGTAGATTTTTTTAAAAAACAGTTGTAGATACATGGATGCAAGGTCCATTTTTTAGTTTCTGAAAAGCATCCCACAAGCAGCACCATCCCAATTTCCCTCCGAGGCGAGCAGTGCTGCCGTTTTGACAGATGAAAGCAGTAGGAGCCCTGCAGGCCGTGGGGAGGGGGGACACCGGGAAGCTGATTCCTGACACTTTCCCCTTTTGTTTTGTGTAAGCAAGTTCAGAACTGGCCGTGGGTCCAGGCTTGCTCAGATCACGGGACTCTGATTTGCAGAGTGCTGCACTTCAGGAAGTGACCCCTTCCCCTTCCCCTTTCCTCCCCTTCATGAGGGCGTTAATCTCAGTTACGCTGTGGGTTCAGAACACGTGAACAGCTGCTGGGGCTCACCTGAGTGTGATAAATTCATAAACTGAGTTACTTGATCAGGACTCAGAGCCTGTAGGTACTCGTAGATATCTATAATAAATGCACCATTCCTGGACCATGCCCACAAACTACACCCCGGGTCTTCAAAGTGGACAAATGTATTAATTTATTTTAAAGAATGAACCAATTGTAGATCAGTGATTCCTCTAATGGTTCTTTTCAAAAAACAATTAATGTTCTATTGAGCTGGGGCTAGAAACAGTCGCCAGGACTGTGTTCCACACACGTCCTCTTTCACTTATCTCTAACATGTTTTTGCAGAATGAGAGTGTCCGTGACAGAAGGTGCGGCGACACCCGTCCACTGTACAGGGATCTCTCCAGGCTGGTGACCTGGGCACACAGTCATGGCACCATATGCGACCAAATCCCTGCCTTGGAGACGGTGCAGAACATGGGTCATCCTAGCAAGGACAATTCTGTCCTGTGGATGTGTGTGCTTGGACACGCGTATTGCTGGCAGTGTGAAGAAATATACGTCAGAAGCAGAGAAGAGAGTGAGGCTGTAGGAAAGAGAAAGAGGTTGGTATCTTCCGAGGCTTCATCAGGCGAAGCTAATTTAGATGAAAAGAGGTTCAGGATGACCCCATCTCTTGGGAGGGCTAAAGCAGATGCTTTTAGCAGAGGGTCATGCAGCAGTTCTCCAGGGGTCACTCAGCAGAGAGGCGACACAATCTGCATAATAGATAATGAACCACCACTCGGACTAAACCGAAAAAATAGCAAATCCATGAAGTCGGGCTTTGCAGCAGAGCAGCATTGGTCATTATCTGGTGATGAAGTCACAACTGACAGACACAAGGTGAAGATAGAAAGTGACAGAGACCTACAAATCCTCTCTGATGAAGGACAGCGTGTATCAGATGAAGACGACCAAGGAGCCAGAATCAGCCAGAGTATTCTGTCAGAGGCACAAAATAAAAGTGAAACCGCTCAGGCGGACTTGCAAATGTATCACAGTCAGCAGACAGCATTTCCCAAGCCAGCAGCTGCCCAAACCACCTTTGCCCCCCCAGGAAAGCTGCCCCTGCCTCTCGCCTGCGCTCTGCAACCCCCCGCCAGCCCACAGGAGCTCCTGCACAGCAGCTTCCTGGGGCTGGGGCCTCCCAACCCTGCAGGGTCCATGCCTGAACCTTCTGACACCAGAAGTTCCTCTGGGTCACCAATACCCAAAGAACATTTCAAACCTTCTCCTGTCTCCAACATTGAAGTAAAGGCCCAACCCGAGTCACCCTCCTCCATGACATTCTTTGAGCTAGAAGCCACCATAAGCCTCCAGCACCAGCTCCCGCAGAGCCCCTCTGAGCGCCGCACGCCAGAAACAGGCTTCAGCGGGAGCGTCACTGAAGACTCCGTTAAGAAGGGTGAAGCGTCAGGATCCGGGCAGGCACCTCCCCCTGCGGCCTCCCTGAGCCCAGAGCGTCCACCCGCATCCTCACACAAAAGTAAGAATCTGGAGTTCTACTCCTGGAGGGGCCTGTGGGTGTGGGGGTGCGTTCTATTAATCATTTCCCAAAATAGCAAAGGAGGGTGGGTTCATCCAGCTGCCAAAACCTGTACTGTGGTATCTAAGGAAACGGTTTGGGGCACTCTCGTGTCTGTGAAAGGGACTGACCTGCCGTGAGCAGTTGGCACGTCAGCAGGGGACGGCGCTTGCCGCCACGCCCAGCCCTGGGCTCGGCTCGGACCTGCCCTGACTACCCCTCTGTGGCACAGGGATCAGCAGAATCCACCTCAGTCCAGCCCCAGCATTTTAAGATAACAACTTAGCGTGTACAAAACAACCTGGTGCGAGCAGGGGAATCTCTAGATGTTGGCTCTAGAACCCTTTTCAATCTACTCCTCCTCAGCCCTGGAAAAGTCCCAGGCGAGCAGATGGAGCTTTTCAGCAATCCAAGAATTAATTTCTCATGCTACATTGAACTAGGTAGATGGTGTATTGCCATAGCAACTTGAGAGAGAATCCAACTGGAATCCTGGCAGTCCTTTTTTAAAAAAAATTACAATTTTACTCATCTTTTTGTTCTTCTTTACTATCCACCCCTAACTTTCGGTTAATGCTTTTATCTCACACCGAGAGCTCTCCTGCTCTGAAGAGATTTTTGTCAATATGAATGCTTTGAAATACATTTTGCATAATGCCTCCTACGCCACTCTGGGCACACAAAATGGCTGCTGCTTAGTCCTGGGGCGGATCACAAGATCCACGGAGGGGCCAACACCCATCTATTCCAGAAGAGCAGAGTTTGGCCCCCACAGCCACTACAAAGGACAGGGTAGTTGCAGACCAAGGAAAGTGTATCGAGACCATCTGGGGTGGTTTGGGCTTCCCGGCCAGCGCTGCCGGCTACACGGCGGCCCCATGGGCCACACGAGCGGGGTCAGGGCCAGCCCCGGGGGCAGCCCCGGCCAAGCCACCGCCGACGGTGCCACTCTGCTGCCCCGCATCTGCCTGATGGGCCCCCAGGGCCTGCACCAGCGCTTTCCACCCCACAGCAACATCCAGTCTCATTAAGGGCACATTTCCTCCCATTTAAACATAATTCAAAAAGAAAGAATGTCTTAAATTTACCTCCATGGTGGTCTGCAGGCCTGCTAGCCAAGTGAGCAGAGCAAGAAGGGGCAAGAGTCCTTTCCTGCTGGGTGGTGCTGCCTGGGGACACAGAGCTAAACCAGAGCCTTCAGGGAGGGGGTTTGTGAAAGTCCCATAATCTCCGAATTCCTTTCAGAACGAAGGTGAAGGTTGTTCTGCATCTCCTTATAGTTCACTGATCTCCTTGTAAATTCTTGCTGTCCACAAAGCTGTGTCTTATCTTTCAGATGTGTTGAAGAAGGGAGAGAAAAAGAGAAACCATAACACTGGCGATATAAAAGTTTTCAAAGACTGGTTGGTTTTACATTGCCCTTCTGAAATACGTGAGATCCACGAGCTGCCACCCCAAGACCTCGATAGTTACCTGGCCTTGTTCTACGGTTGTGCAAAGAGACAGAACGGCGCAGATTTTTCTGCCAGTTCTTTGCACTTCCTTCAGAAAAACATAGAGAGATACCTGACGGATCACAACTACGGATACAGCGTGGTTAAGGGGTTGGAATTCAGAGCGTCCCAGGAAGCCTTCAAAGTAAAGTATCAGCACCTGTCTCAGCAGCTGAAGGCGGGCAAGTGGAGTGTTGTGGAGAACCTGACAGATGAAGATGTGGAAGGTCTCCGTAAGAAGGGACTTGTAAGTAGGATGCACCCCCAGGGCTTTTTGCACCTCATGTTCACGACCATCATTAGGGGCTTTGGGGCAAGTACGCACAGTCAGGGCAATGCTCTGTACTGGGGACAGCTGGTGCTGAGGAAGCCGGAGGGCGAGCTGGAGTACCTGGTCTGGAAGGATGGTCTGAGCACGGAGGCAGAGCCGGGGGAGGCGGGTCTGCGTCTCTTTGCCAAGCCCGACGACCCGGGCACCTGCCCGGTCACAGATTACAAGGAGTACGCCCGGCGGCGGCCGCCCGACATGCTGCATGACTGTGACCCCCTGTACCTGGCTCCCAAGGCCCTGTGCTCCATGTGGGACCAGGTCTGGTACAGCAGGAAGTCCCTGGCAAAAGCCAGAATAGAAAAGATCTTGAGGGTTATTGTCCAGCAAGTCAAGGAATCTGTAAAGAAGTCCAAGAAATAGAGGCGCCCGTTTGGTTCTCCTGCACCACTTTTTGTTGGGAGGTGGCCTGGGAGAGGTGTGAGTGGCCACAGCCCAGCTGGAGGAGAGGTCCTTCTCCTTGGGGCAGAAGTCATCCACAGGTTTGCATCACCTTAGCGTTCAGGTTGTGTAAAACTTCCGTTGTTCTTTCTATTTGTGGAATTGATAGTTCAGCAAGTTAAAGAGGAGAATTTTAGGTTTCACATTTGTAAAACAAGTTAATGTTCTGCTCTATTATTAATGACCTGATAAAGCACAGAGAGGGCTCGGTGCCTGACCAGCTTGGCTCAGCGTTTAGACCCTCCGGGCAGCGGACGCTCACACGCAGCGTCTGGTCTCAGCTCAAGCCCAGGAGTAACAGGAGCTGGTTGTGGGGTGGAAGGAGAACGATGAAACGCCGCCCCTGCCAGCTGCTGGTCCGAATCCCACGGGAACGTGTTCAACAAGGTTTATGTCGTTTTTCTTAGTGAAAGATTTGTAGCTTTAAGAAGTTGTGACTATGTTTGTAAAAGTTATTTTAAATGGCTCCCAGCGTTGAAAGGTTTCATGGGAAGTGCTCTCCCCAGAGAGCTGCATAAATACACTTCGGTGGATGTGGTTGACGTTTTTTCAGCTGTTCAGGTCCTGTTCCATTGATGTTCTTCCCTGAGCCCAAGCCAGTTGCACTGTTGGCATAACTCAATAAAAGAACGTTTTACTCGTCCCCGTTTGTCCCTGCTGTAAAGATGAAGCCGGCCAGCCCAGACTGGCAGGGGACGTTCTCTTGCCCTGCTCAGCCCCTCGGCGCGGCGCTGCCCCCCACGAGGCGTCTGGCCCTTTGGGATCCCGCGGAGCCCGTGTTCATGGTTTCCTAATGAGGTCGTTGTAGCCAAACGCTTTGTCAGAACTGGCCCTGTTCAAGCAACGTTTAATATCACCAAAAAACTTAGAGAGGTTTAAAGAGCCATAAAGAAAAACTCACCTGATCAAGCGCTGGGCTGGAGCCTTCCAGCCCCGGGGGGCCGGGCCCGGCCTGGGGGCTGGGCTCCACTCACCCGCCGCGGGCAGCCACCGGCTCGGGCTTCGCTTTCCTCTCGAGTCCCCCCCAAAGCTCCTTAGCGGGGGGCTGCTGCCTCACAGTCAGGGCGCGGGGGCAGCCCCCGGGCCGCGGGGGCTACAGGAGCGACCCGGGGGGGAGCCAAAGTCCCACAGATAACAGAGGAGCCGGCGAAGCCCCGACCAGCGCCCGCCGCGCCCGTCCCCGTGGGTTGCCCAAAGCCCGTCCCTGTTCCCCCGCTCTCCCCGAGGGTTCTGCCCCGCTCCACCGGCGGG